TTATGTTGTAGTAATAATAAAAATTTTAGTTCAAGTTGTGGTCATTACATTATAGCATTTGATTGTAGTGAAAAGTGGATGGCAAGTTTGGAACCGACCACGAATAAAAAACGCGATTGTCGTTACCCTTTTAGAATGATGACCGGAAGCGATTCAAGCTCCATCTGCGTTTCACCTCAGTGAAGATTGCGCCGGAAATGGAAGGGGAAAATGCCAGGGGAAAGCGAACATTCCCTTAAAGGGGAGAAGTAAGACGGACAGATGAAAATTAACGACCCGACATTTTTCTTCCTTTAAAACTGATGGTAAGATGTGGAGACGTTTTCTGAATGCAGAAATCCCTCTCACTTCGTTGGGGCGAACTCGGACGCTCTTGCAGTTGAAGGAAAAATAACGGGAAATTGTTCTTGTGCAAATAAATAACGGGCTCATGGGGTGTTTTTTATTAAATCTCGTCTTAGGTGTTTCAAGGTTTTTAATATCTGGCTTTAATACATCAAGAATTAAAAATAAACACAAATAGTTTTAGTTAATTGGATGCATTGAGGATCGTTTGAGTAATATAAATAAACAACTAACTGTTTCCGAATGCTATTAATTATTTTAATGATAAACGTAATGAGTATGCGCATTTCAATCATTTTAATTCACCATATTTGCTGTTTAAATTATCTTGATTACACTCAATAATAGCTAGCTATATTAAAAGTTTAAAAATTCAATTCAATCCAATTAAATTTTTAACTAAATTTGTAAGTAAAACGAATCATTGCTAAAGATCGATACTACCCCTCACAATTCACTTGCCCGTGACTCGAGCATTTCAACTGGGTGACAGGATGTGTCCTATAAGATGGAGAATCGAGAAGTACTAAGTCTGCTCACGCGAGAAGCCCTATTCACAAAGGCACATGAAATTGGTAGCAGACGAACTCATTACCGTTCAGAGTAGTTTCACGTCGTCTCCGAGTACAACCAAAGTTCAAATATTACCACAGTTTCTGATGGCACACTCGTAAAGTCAAAATCGTTTCGACAACTAATACCACCTCGAGGTATTACAAAAAGTAACATTTCTTTTTCGATGGCGAATCCTGTGGTATTATACAAGTCGAAAACGAACTAGAAAGGGAAGTGATTTTTGTTCAAGAACAAATATTTTTCAAGAAGTATATTGAACAAAATTGGAAAATAACGTATTATCGATTGAAAAGTGTCTTGATATATAAATAGCTACCACGATGTTAAGGTAATTACATTTAATATCATTACGGATCAATATGGTGTTGATAATAAAGTAGAATTTTTAAATATAGAGCCTCGTCGGTAAACAACCTCTGCTGATAATTGAATTTCATTGCCTTGATATACAAATAATTACCACGATGTTAAGGTAATTGTATTTAATATTATTAGAAGATGATATATAGCATGATATATATGAGATGTTTTAATAATATTGTCGATCAGTCATTCATGTACATGCCAGATTCGTGGAACTCAATATTTAACGCAATATTTAGTGATGTAGTTGATTTCCTCAATTTGGCACTGTCGAAAAACATTATGTAACTGAGTTTGTCCGCTCCTAAGCACATTACTTTTCCCAGTCTTATTAAAATATTATTTTCTGCTCCTGGTTCGACGTGAAGGCTACACTAAGTGGTTGCAGCCAATGTTTAAAGTTTGAAATAGCTTTTTTGAAAAATTCTTCAGTCTTCTACATTATCCTCACTGAATGATGACAGATTCTTGTCTTCATCGTAATCGAATTCTATTTACACTTTTGTAATCAAAAAAATTTTTTTTTGTTATATCTCTCATGGATTTTATGAGTTTGAATGAATAATAACAGAGATGTCCAATTTACTTTAATTACATCCTTATAATAAGTCGCAACTCATTTTAAACAGTTTTTTCCAAACACACAGTCTGCGTACATTAAGCCGATAAGCGCTTCCTCGTGTGGTTTGCAACTATCCTCTCTGAAATTCGAGCGCAAGCAAAACAATCGCTCGGAGCGCCACCTATAGAGCGCGAGTCGCGCACAGCCGCGCAGCCTTCTGGATTTATGTCGTCGTTCTTCCACTTGTGAAACAATAGCCAGCTCTGATTTACGCGGGCGGCCGAGGCGGCCATTGTGGGACCGTCTCTGGCCCCCCTTCTCCAGCCTCCCTTTTCCGACGAATGTTTTTAAATTACGCCACCGCCGCTTTTTAGGCCGCACGTTTGAAAAAAGTCCGGATGTGTTTTTTCATCTCCGGGCCGCGGGGCCCTCTCTCGTGACCCCGGACACCCGGATCCCATACGTGGCTCAGAATTAGGTCGTCACCAGTGATTCATCCTTGTGCAATTAAATTTCCGTAGAGACGGTCCTGGTCACGTCGTCTCTTTATTTCGCGTCCTCTATATTCGCGCTTACCAACGGATGAATTTTTTGATTTTGTAAAACTCTTTGTGTTTGTGTGATACACCTAACGTGACCAATATTTTGAATTAAGTATTGGATTAGAACCCCATCTGACGGAAGATTATAGGATCTAATAGCTCCAGTAATTAATGTCGTCTCTTGCCCTTTGTCTTCTAGTGTGATACGTAATTAGATTATTGTTGCTCCTAATAGCACAAAGATAATTGTCCTCGTGTTTGATATTAATATCACTTTGATGTATATAGTATGTATCTAATACAGAATTTTATATATTATATCTAAACGTAATCTTAGAAACTCACCAATATTGATTTCCAAGTGATGAAAAAGACAAAAGAGGTGATTACGTTATTATAAATTTATTAGAGGGAGTAATAAGCTCCACCGTGAGGAGCTTAACAGCTTAATGTTTACGCTTACATAATTTTAAAATGGGTTGGGGTTTATTCCTGTAGCGATTAAAACAAATATTTTATAAGCAGTAATATTAAATTACTAAACTTTGAGTTATATGAAATAGCATTAATGAGTTTTTTTATAAAAGGGTATCATGTTATTTTTAATCCTAAATAAATGGGTTCTGGAAACGGATAGCCTGGTTAAGTACCAAAAAGATATATGCGTTAACCATTCGGTCAAAGTCAATTTCCGGGAAGTTCACGTACTCTAACAAACATTAAAATATATCCGGTACGATCAAAGCACATTTGCCGAACGAACTATTTCCAATTAAGCGTTAACGTGGCGGTCAGTTCCAATAAATCGTATTCGCAGCTTCGATCGTAGATTAAAACCGCAGCAATGAGCACAAAATTCGGTTAAGTGTTTATCTATCTATTTGCGCTTTGATATGCAATCGAACGCGGCTTAGTCGAAGGCCAATACATTTTTATGTGCGTAAACGCCGAATTTTGATTGAATACCCTCGAAATAGATTCATTAACGGTCACCACCATGAAGTGAATTCTATTGAAATGTGTATATAGTCGTTGGACGATATGTTTGATTTGCTTGCAGTAGATAATGAGGGACAGCGCTGCGACACAATTAGCGTCCAAATCGTACGTCGCCAACGCTTATCCGGCAATTATCGATTCCGATATTTATCAATTCTAATTGGAATTCTAATTCGGGAATTGATGACCGCTTAATGCACGGTGCAAATGTGCACACTCCGGTAGGCGCATTACAGTGGGTTACTCGTGACACTGATACTGAGGGTAAAATTTCCATACGCTCGTTGTACTAGCCACATGATCTGATATGCTTACACGACGGTCAACCAGGTTGCAAAACGAAGTTTAACTGTAACCCGATAATTGTCTCTCTAAGCCTTGGTAGCGAAGTAATCTCCAAACAAATTCGGTCATTTCAATTTCACATATTACACTAAATTAATTTGACACAAAAAATGTTGAATTGTAATTCAAAAAACAACAGTATTTATTACGATGCAATTGCACAAAGCCACAGCACGCTTTGTAACTATATACCACTTTGTATTAATTGAACCATGATTTTGGCGTTTATAAAGGTATTTGTTAACAGAATAACATTTCTACGATATACAATGTTAATGTATAATCAACTATCAATTACGTTTCCAAATGTAGTCGATTTAGGTAGTACTGTATTTCGAATATTCTACCTCTATTTATATTTTCATATTTATCGAAATAACATACGCAACAAATAGAAATAAAATAGTAAAGTTTTCAAATAAAAATATGAAATACATTTTTTTGCGTTGTTTCCTAGACGTCATCCGATTTTGGTTCATGTTCATTTTTATATGGTAATAGTAATAACGCAGTTTGAACTAAAAACAGTTTCTGGTGAGTTAAACTTTATGGAAGTAACAATTTTTTGGATACTATTTGAATGAGTTAAAATAATAACTTATAAATTTGTTGAGAGTGAAATTGCACACTTAATAAAGGTAAATTAAACTTTGTGTCACTTTAATTAAAGCCGAGGCCGCGTGCGGTCAAGGTGTAGCAATGTTAAAAGCTGTTCTGGATTCCTTAGTTTCTACGTTAAAAAAGAAATTCGAGCAACCATAAATGGTTTATAAAAAAGGCGTGGGGAAGTTATTAACAGGAAAGCGATGTAATCTTTGGGCGTGAAGAAAGGAGAGTGAAGCATTAAATAAAGAAATTTAAAATATGTCTCTTAAAAATTGAAGTTACAATATTATATTATTTTATATTGGGTAGAAAGAGAATTTGTTATTTTCATGCTTAGGTTCATTGCTGACAACCGACACAAAGTAATGAAACATGAAAATGGAAAATCGTAAATATTAAATAACAATATTTTATCTAAACCATTAATTAAATTGTATAACAGTTGTTATTACGAAATTGTTACAAATAACATTGTTAAATAAACCAAGGAAAATCAACCACAAATCGAATTATTAGTTACAAATATTTCCCATATTGACTCGCCAATTTTTATTTTAAATTTGAATTATTCGATTTATTTATGGCACGTCAGAAATGCTTGTTAAACTAAGCGTATAGTATATTATCGAATAAATTTGTTAAACAACAATTTTTTGTTTCAGGTTGGATATCGATATAAAAACCACTTCTAAACAAAACTGTCATGTAATCGATCACAATTCGTAAGTTACCAAGAATTCAACATGTTCCCAACTTAAAAGAACAAAAAGAAAATATGGGATCCACTCTGAAATATTTAATATTTGTGCTATTGATAATTTTAGTGAAATGTTGGGAATTTTCTAAAAACGCCAAAATCAGCACGAGAATTGTGCAGACGAGATATGGTCGTTTACAAGGACTTATTTTACCAATGGACGAGCATAGATATTTGAAACCAATCGAAGTGTTCTTGGGCGTTCCGTATGCAACCTCGCCGATTTTATCAAATAGATTTAGCCCCACTAGAACGCCTAGCCCTTGGGACGGAGTTAGGCTCGCCGATAAACTAGGTCCCGTTTGTCCTCAAAAACTACCCGATATCGCCAATGAAACCGCAGCTTTAGAACGAATGCCCAAAGGAAGATTGGACTACTTGAAGAGGCTGTTACCTCTTCTAAGGAATCAAAGTGAAGACTGCTTATATTTAAATATTTATTCGCCAGCGCAAGGTAAGTGCTTTTTTATACATACATTTTTACGCATAGCTCAAGCTCCACCGAAAATGTTTAAAATTAGATTACTAGAAACTATAAATTAAATTACATAAGTTTGGAAATTATTATGTAATTATGGAATTGGGATTGAATTTAATTCAATCAAATACCAAACTTACTGGATTGATAAATATAACTTCCTGGTATAACAAGCAATCACTGTAGGAACTTTATTGGTCCGATGTTGTACGTAATTAAATTAAATCTACAATAAGGCAATTAGGTCTTCAAGTCCACAACTTCGTTCCGCAGTTTACTGTTAATAACAACTTTATATTTCGAACTTATTCGAGAAGTTCGGTCATTAACGACAAATATAATTTAAAATATAATTAGGGGCTTTATGTAGGGACGAAAGTCGCTTGCAAACGCGGCCATGTAGCTGCAAAATTGGCTGCGAGAACTTTCAAATAATTACTTTTAATCGGTAGAGTGGAATTTACGACGTAGGATAATTACTTGTGTGCGAAAGGGCGATGCAAAATGTTTGTGCTTTAAGCTCAGAATCGGTCGACCCACAATTCATACCTTCCCCGTCTGGTTTGTTCTAATAATAGCCCTTTGTAACTCTTAGGGAAATGTACCGAGTCAATTTCCTTCTGACATAAATTATGGATTTGGTACGTGACTCCAATCCATTTAAGGTAATCGCGTCTACATCAATATTTCCCAAACTTTATAATCGTTATAAGAAAGAAGGCTTTTTCGCCCGTTGTTAATTGAACTAAGACTAGAACTAACACTAACACTAGGACTAACACTAGAACTAACAATAAACCTAGAACTAGAACCTTTCGAGTTTTGCCGTCTTGAGAGACGTACGGTTAAATGCACGGTTAGTTGTAATTTTAGTTTAATTTATAACCGTATGCAAAATTTATTTGAATGCGATTAAAAATGTAATGGAATTAATTAATTTTAGTTGGAGCTCTATGCAATATCAATTTCCTGTAAGATTATACGGTGAGCCTCCTCACTAATTACTCATGAACGGAGGAAATGAATAGATTTGGACGTGATGACCGTTACTTGCATGTTCCATTAATTAATACAATTATATTCAATTGTGCTATCTATCGAGAATCAATTTATATTAAGCATTGGCACGGTTAGTAACGGCCTGTTTAATATATTGTTTAGTTTTGGTATAAGTTATTTTCTGTAGTTGAGAACCCATTTTTCGATAAACCATCGTTGCCAATTCCATAGCAATACATCGAAGTACTTGTGCAATAAAACATCAGTCGGACGTTCATTTATATACATACAACCCGGGAAAGGTCTGCAACTAAATGAGTTTAGAATTTAAGTTGGCTCCAGTCCAAAACGACGTGCCTGACATACGGTCGCCGGTCGATATCCTGTAAAATCTAGCGACCCGGTAAGGATCCGATCAAATCCCGTACACTAGCCATCTGCTATTACCTCAGACTGGGTTTATCGGAGGCTATAAACTTTCCTAAAACGCGAACTACTTACGCTATATTTCTACCGACTTCTCAGCAACTGAACGAAACGTGAAAATGAGAGAAACGAAGAAAGAAACAGATTGAGAGAGAAAGAGAAAGTTTTAAAATGGAGGTTTTGCTATTGTCGCATTTCCTTTTTAATTGAAAAGGTGCAGGTTCCAACTTGCTCTTGGTTCGACCACCTTTCCGTATCGATTTCCCTTCGAAAACCCATTCGTCATCTGCTCGTACGGTCGGCTCTAAATTTATGAAATTGTAAATAAAACTCCTGGGCGGCGTAAACGACATTTATGGGTCTACCATGCGTCGAATATATAGACCTACTTCGTTACAGGCGAACTTGTATGAAAGATATTGCATGTTATACTTTTCAGAAATACTATAAATTTCCGAAAAATATTGTTTAATCTTTTTCTTTAAAAGTCTAATGAAATTAAACTAGCGTGATCCAAAGTTAACTTTAGCGTCATGAAATCGATCTAAACCCTTTTATCCTTTGAAAGCCTAAACGACAGAGCACACAGTATTAGCCTGACCGCTAAAGTGAACTGCAAAACAAAGGGGTCCACTCTGCGAGGCAAAGGGCCGCAACTTTCTCGTTTAACAGTCGGTTACTGTTAAAAAGAACACCGTAAACAGGGAGCTGCAGGAAGTAACCATTATGCCAGCCCAGATCAGACGAGCTTGCACGAGCTCGTTAAGCTTCGCCAACCCGCTGCATTTCCCGAGAGGCAACGGTGAAGTGCGGCTCTGAAAATGGTACAACTAAGCGGTACGGACCTGGTTCCTTGGATCCGATTCCGAGCCGCAGCCCCAGAAACGTGCAAATATGTATTTTATCTTTCTAGTCGTTGGCCGTTCCCCATTTCTCCATTGCCACTATGAGTGAGAGCGGTGTTTACTTTCCGGGCCGAGTGACACTCCTGCAGTGCTAATGCAGCTCCAAGCTAGGCAGGAAATGTGTAAATACCTCGAGTTGTTTTGAATGCGATATTAACTCTTGTACCGATCTACTCGAAGCTTCAATTCGTATTCGTATGGTGGCTTATTTCGACGTTGTTCAACCTTAAATCTTAACGTTAACACACAAAATCACTTTAGTTCTGAAGATGTAAGCAATGAATTGTACATTTGAAGGTATATGTAACTTGGATTTGGAGATATAATATATTTCCAAGTCCATATTAAGGATTCTCTTGCTGAAGTATTAAATGTGTCGAGCTTTTAGTATAGTGAAGGCCTATTAACTCGTAGTAACATCAGTCCCGTTACGTTTCTGTTACGTCGACAATAATATCTTGGAGCATAACACTTCAATTTGGTAAATGATCAAGAGAGAACTATTTTACTGGTTAACATGGATGTGCTCTTCCACAAACATATCTCTAGATATTCTATTAAATTTCAAAGTACTTACTATGAAACGGCGTGCCCCTTTGTCTTCCTTTATCGAATTTACGTCTTCATTCTGATTTTGATGGTAACACCGAAAACCTTATTCTCATCGTAGGGAACGTTGATTTACTGTGTAATTTTCCGCAATTCGGCAATTTTCCATTTCATAGGACAAGATGAGGGCGCTCTCATCTTTTCACGGCAAAAAGTAAAGATGTTACCAGCCCCTTTATATCCCTCGAATCACGTCCTAAACAAATAAACAGAAGGAAAGAAGTGGAAGGGTCGAAACGAGCAACAGTCAATTTCCTATTTCTAGGATTGTCCTTCGTAGGGTCGCTCTACGGTCTCGAAATTTAAAACACGGAAATAAGTAAAACAACGCTGAAAACGAGATTTATTTCTGGTCGATTGGCGTCCGACCCTTCGATTTCAACCCCTACCATCGAGTTCCGGTTCGTATCTTCTTGGATAGTCCGATATTTACTGATACTTTTAGCTTAAATTTTTTTTTATATTCTGACAGGAAATTATTCAGAAATTTTCTTTGTTTTTTTTTTCGTGCAAGGTCCATTGTTAAAACAGGATTTTCCGACACACCATCGTAACTTTGCTTTTAGCGTATTCCAAAACGACCGCATAAATATCCATTTTCTAGAACAGACTTCGAAATTTTTTGGCGAAAAACGGTGCAAGCAGGATTTTTCGTGTGCGGCAGTCAATAAGCTTCGTTCGAACCGACATCTAGTCCCAGCTGGGAGTATAAAATTTCCCTTGCCCTTCGGTATATTTCATTTTTGCATCACCCTCTTTTTTAACTCTACGTGTGAGTTTCGAATAACTTGACCACAAAACTGTCATGTTGTCAAAAAGGTAAAAATAGTTTATAAATGTTCTTAATAATATTATTGATAATGACGAAATTGATAAATAGGGGAAAAATGATAACAATATTTTTCTACCCATGTCAGTATACAGTTCTGTCGAAGCTCCTTCAATTCCCTTGGAGAAAATAACTAACTCCATCTCTTATATATAGGAAATTGCTTCATATCGCGGACAGCGGCAACACATGTCCCCGAAAAAGAAATGGTCGGCGAAGCACCAGATGAAGTCATCTGGGAGAAGGCGATGATCGTAGCAAAAGGAACGGGGATATCTCCATCGCGGGGAGCCGGACAGCAAAAACTATATTGCCCTCAAAATGATATATGAGCGCCGCACAACAGCTCCGAGCGATTTACACCCCACGCTTGCTTTTTGCCAGCTATCCTTTGTCGATTTTCAAGCTGGGATTATACGAACCCTATTAGCTGAGATTGCCGTCCGACAAAATGCCTTAACAGCTCCACTTGTCTAGGTCCGTTCTATATATCACAATGAAAATGTTTGGCAAGAAAACTAGTACAGTTTTATACGATTTTATAGTGTCCCACTTCAACTTAAATAAAAATCTAAACGATAAAGCTCTGAAAACTTTTGAAAGATATAGATAAACGATCGATTTTAAAGTGAAAACATAAATTTATTCAAAACAATTCGTCACCTGACACCAAACGATTTTCATGCCGGCCACGACCCAGGGGGAATTTCTGTTCGAAAAAAAGGACACGCGTCGTTTCCACTCGTTTAATGGACGGGCGAGGATGAAAAAATCGCCATCCCCAATATGCAAATGGGAAAGGATCGGCTCGCTCTGTATCCGCTCTGTGATTTTCAGTTAAAGTCATGTAAAATTTTACTTCCGAAACTCGAATTGTGGCCATTTGTTTTTGTAGCATTCGATATCCTCGCGAACAAGTTTCCCGGACGTGTATCTGTGCCCAACTAACATTTCTTTTCGCTATTATTCTACGTTAATTCCCATTTAAACCGAACATCGAAAATTGAATCCATTTTATAACATGCGCATTGCGGTATGTTAATAATAGGCGGTTACAGCCGAGGTTGGTTTGTGAAAATATTTATGGCGTTGGTGGTAAATAACCGGTTGTTATGCAAATGTAGTTAATGAACACGAAAATTGCGATTCGTAATGACCAAAGACCGTACCTTTTACAACGAAAAATTACGGTAATAAATTATTTGTAC